GAGACGGGGTCTCGCTCTTGCTCAGGCTGGTTTCAAACTCCTGAGCTCAAACAATCCGCCCGCCTCAGCCTCCCAGAGAGCTAGGATTACAAGCATGAGCCACCGCGCCTGGCCTCTACATTTTTTAATCATCAGTCTCAGCCACTTAAGCTGCGGTAATTAACATGTTTAGAGACAGCCACTCTGGGCTTGAATCATCCATTATAGCCCCAACTCCAGCGACAAATCTCTGCCTGATTGCAGCTTGGATTTCGGTCCCACTGTTAATCGCCACTGAGACTTCTTTCTTCAGGGCTTGATTTATAAAGGAGGCTGCAACCTTCCGAGCAGGGAGGATCCATCACTCTCCCTGTGCTGCAGAGAACTGCTTAGAGGTCTCCAGCCTTATGGGGAGTGGGGAAAAGTGGAGGAATTTATCCTGCTGTTTGGGCAGCTTCTCCTAATTGCCTTTACTATCTGAAACAATGAACAGGACCCTTACAAGAGGGAGAAGCTCCTCTGATTACTCCAGATGGTTTGGGGAGCAGTCCTCGCCTACTTCCCAGGTGCTCCCTGTCAATGATGACGTGGAAGATGCAGGGCACCTCTTCCTTCTAGACCAAATGGAAATCATCCAGGCCACGTGCATGAGCCCACCCTACCATTATGGCTGCCCTCCACTCACATCCAGCACTAAGCCTTTTGGACTGTGGCAAGGTGGCATTTCCCAGCTCCCAGGGGTTGAGTGGGGCTGGTGGGCTGTGGGCAGCAATGATGTGGAAGAGATGGGCCATTTAATGGCCCGTATGAAATGCTTCAGAGTCTCTTTCTGTTCCCTCTGACATTGCCAAAAGCATTCAGGGTGGTGGGTACTCCATCATCCTGAAACCGTAAGTAAGGAGAGATGCTCCCAGGCAACAATGATGGACTTAGAATGTGAGCAAGAAAGAAACTTGTGTGTTAAGCTGATGAGAACTGAGTGTTGTTTCTCACCATAGCATGATTTAACCTATCTTATCTGATACAGGCAGCCAGTGCAGAATGAGTAGTCGGTGGGAAGAGCACAGTTATGCTTTTTCCTCTTTATCCTCCCCCAACCATCTACCCAGCCCTTTCTTTAACAAGCCATTGGGGCTGGCAGGACAGGACTCCCTGCCACTGACACACCCAGGTAGCAGCTGCATAACCATCAGGCAGGTACAGCGCTTACTCATTGGCATGGGCAGTCAGACAGATGTTCCCTTCCGTCTCTGTCATATAAAGACCACCCCTGAATCTACCAGCCAAGACACAGAAACGCTGGCCAGAGCCCCATGACCCTGAGTCATCCCTTGGCTTTGGAAAATGTTGTTTTTTCCTAAGAGAAGCTGTTGAATGGTGCCAGTCTCATTCTTCCATTCCATAAACACAGAAACTGTTTCATGCAGGCTGCAGCCTATTGAATTCCCATGTCTTATTATGCCCTTTCTGCAGTTATAAATACTATTAATAAATCTCAATACAGGTATTGTGGGATTGCTGAAAAGACTGCAGTTCATTCCAACCAGGGGGGAAATCATGGAAGGTTTTGTGACCACGGGAAGTTGGAAAGGATGAGTAACATCCAATCATGTGTGGGAACCGGAGGTCGGCTTTCTAGAAGTGTAACAGTGAGAACAAAAGCACAGGGAGACGGAAGTCCCTGACCTGGGGTGGCTCCTTCACAAGGCCACCCTAAAGGGCCGCTTCTTTAGTGGCAGCAAGGCCAGGCCTGATTCCAGGTGAGGACTGGGTAAAATGCTAATTTAATTCCACCTGTCCTGACTTCCTGCTCAGATTCTGGCAGTCAATTTCCATTTGCTGGCCAACATTTCCAGCTGGATATTCCACAACCACTTTGTGCTGAAAACTCACGCTCCTCCCAGTACCTGCAAACTTTATCTCCCACATTTCGAATTTCGGCTGACAGCAGCCATCCCTGACTCCTCTACCCCATCAGTCTCCACACCAGTCTGTTTCCCAGTCTTGCCATTGCTCCTTCACGGTCACTTGCCTTTGTTCCTTGGGTTTTATTTCTCCTGCCCCTGCTGGTCTGGGCCCCTGGACCTCCTCCCAAGGCTGGTGCAAGAACCTTCTAGCAGGTTTCTGTCCCTGTACACATGCTCCCTCCACCCAACAGAACAGTATATGCCATGTTCAACTCAGTGCTAAGCCTTCATCCACAACCTTGTTTTTCCAGGAATTTTAGTTGATTTTATTCGTGTTTGAAATATTTTATTTCTATTTATGCATCCTCTCACTCATTCACATACCCATTCGTTTGCTGCTTTTTCCCACAAATGATTTGCAGCTGACTGGTACACTTTATAAGGAGGTAATGAGGGGCCACCTTCTGTCCTGTTTCACTGCTGTGGTGGAGAGGGGGCACCAGCGTAGGAGGAGATACTCTTCCTATTCCCAAAGGAAGAAGAACTAGAGAGGGGCTGCCCGGTGTGGATTCGAGGGAATAACACTCCCGGTGGAGACAGGGACTCCCGGGGGATGGTGGACGGGCAGCAAGCATCCCTCGTGCTGGAGATCCATCTGCTCCTGCTCCCAGGTGCACCCCATGGGGACAGGATTTCTGAGGAGCCGCTATAAGCATGCCTGGGACCAAACACACCACCAAAAGCCACAGTAGCCACGGCCCAGGGGGGGATCCTGGGGTTGAGTTCAGCTCGAAAAGAGTGGAAGCTGTGAGACTGGGAGTCTCCACCCATCTCTGAATGGACCTTGTTGATTCAGACAACAAGCTTTTCAGCTGTAATCACATTGGGCTAAAAATATTAGCCCAGTGTCCCAAAGTATCATACAAATTCCTGCCAGTTACGTAATAATGGACTGTGTGATACCGAGAAAAGCAGCGGACCATGCTGAGTCTTGCTTTCCTCACCTGTTAGATGCCGCGCCCACCAGGCAAGGATACGGGAGGCACTGTGAACTGCGGTGCTCCCAGCAGGGAGGAAACTTCAGAGGAAGATA